GCTTCTCCACCTGGTGTGTTTATTAACGCGAAGCACACCGGGCAACGAACCCGCTGTTGCTTTGCCTCGGGCACTCTGTGCTGGCAACATCCTCCTGTGTCTGTGCAGCCCCTAGCACATGGGGTGCCTCTCTGGGGTGGGCACTGAACCCCCAGACAGTGGCTGTGCCTTGTCACACCCTGCTCTCCCCTAGGGGAATCTCTCATCCCCCGCTGCCTCCCAAAGCCCAGGGAGAATGGGGAGTGCGTCCCAAGGCGCATAACCGCGCCCGCGCCCCCTTCCGCCCCCAGCGGCCTTTCCTCTCGTGTCATGGCCGGCGGCCAGCACAGGCGCGTCACATGACGGGGCTGGGCGGAGGGGCGGTCACGTGGCGCAGGCGCCGCCGCAGCGCGTCGCGAGCCCGGTGCAGTCTGTCCGCGCCGCTTACGGGCAGCATCAGCCGCCGGGGCCGGGCGCGCGAGAGATGCCGCCGTCCGAGTGCCGCAAGCCGGCGGGCCCGGGCTGCCGGAGCGGGGGTGAGTGCGGGCGAGCGCGGGGCTGGAGCCCCTGGCCAGAAGCGGGGGCGGCGCCGTCCGGAGCTGCCAGCCTGGCGGGGAGGCGCAGGCAGCCGGGCTCGCCCCGTGGAGCCAGCGGGCCAGCCCCTGGATCCCCCCTTCCCCCGAGCACGGGCGGTGGCCGCGCACCCGCTCTGCTCATGCTAGGTGGTCAGGGGAGCCCCCCCCGGGCTCAGAAACTCCTCCCTGGGCAGCCCGGCCGGGGCCGGGAGTCCGGCTGCCTGCAGATTCAGGAAGACGAGGCTGGGGGATGGGTCGCGGGCATTTCACACGCAGCGGCGGGTGGGTTTGGAGCCATCCGAACTTGTCACTTGTCACAATGGAAACAGGGTCTGCAGGAACCGACGGGGTGTTTCTCTTCCTCTCCCCTTGGAAGGGCTCCTACCTACCACTGGCGAGAGGATGTCTCAAGGTCAGCTGCCCGTTAGACCTGAACATCAGTGTCAGAGGAAAACTGGGTGTGAAGTGAGGCAGTTCTCTCATTGCGAGGGACAGATGAGAAGCATGGAATAGAGAAGGTGCAATATGCCGGCTCAGTGCATGTACCTTCCCAATGAACAAATGGGTTTGTGGCTCTACTCTGCCTCCCCTTCGAAATTGGAAGTCCAGAGTGCTGAACTGGGTGAGCTTTAGGGTGTAAATTTAAATAATATTGTTATATCTGGTAAAAACTTTCCTAAGAAGACAACCCCTAGGCTAGCTTGAGTTTTACCAGATGGGATGGATGACAGCATGACCTTTTTCTTACCTGTACATACACCTCGGTGAACAACAGGCATCAACTAGACTCTGTAGGTAGGGTAGGGTGGAAACTGTATAACTATAAGTCTTTAAAACTAGTCCTCTGTATGTTTATAGTCCTACTTTGCTGCCGCCAGTGCCTGCGTGGATTCCCTTGCAAGGAGGAGCCAGGCATTCTCTTCCTTCCTACTTCTCAAAAAACCCCACTGTATCTAAACCTGCTATAACTTCATAGCCAGGGAGTTTATTCTTAATCTCTTCTCTATGCGTTTTCTGTGGCTTCCATTGTATGGTGCTCAGCACTGAAATGTCTCTCCCCCCTTCACAAATAAGTGGTTATTTTACATGGCTGGGGTCCAGCCCTTCAACTGGGCATCTTGCAAATTATTTTTAGTTCATAAAGAGGAAGATAGCTCAAATGCCAGAAGTGATTTGAGCTAACAATCCCTATGTGGTCTAGTGCAGATCCTTAGTCTGTGTTTGCAAGGTGGAAAGACTTCCCTCCACAAACTTGCTGTTGACAGAACAACCAAACGCTCTCCGCTGTTACTTTCTGGGCAGCACAGTGGGGTTGGCCTGCTGTGCATCTGGCTCTGGAAGCACAGACTGCATTTAGAGGCTACTCTTCCAAATAGCCTTCTTTTTTCAGCTTCTGCCTAGGGGGCTAAACCTCCCCAAAAACAGTACCATTGCCTTTGATAGCATCTCTATAAATGGGATCCTGAACTTGACATTATCAGCTATAGTACTGTACAGAGAACAGCTCCCATTGTTCCATAAATAATTTTACATGATTTTGCTCTTTTAGTTCTCTATAAACAATCTGTGCTTTGTCCACTTTCCCTTGTGGTCAGGGTGTTGATTGCTGGGTCACAGTTGTGGTATCATGTTAAAAGATTTCATTAATAATGTAATTATGCAGGTCACAGGCTCAATAGCCCTCTTCTAGTCTAGTATTTGCTATTACACTTGCACTTCTGGAAAGTTAATTTTAGTTTAGCATCAAATCACTGGAATCTTTTGCTTATTCCGAAATATTAAATATATCACTTGCATGGACTGCTTCTGAATATGATCTACTCTAGAGGTTCTCTAACTTTTTCTTAACGTGGACCACATCTTAATAGAGATGCACTCACCTCCCTTTTAGTCCTGATAGTGCAGCCAATTTCCCTCTGATTTGTGATCACATAACCTCCCTTTGGTCACTACAGCAACTATTGATCTAGAAAACTAATATTAGGGAAATAACGTGTTTGTTGTCTGCTGAAATTCAGATGTTGGAAAGTAGTCAGCTCATTGCAGACTGCAGTTTGGAATTCTCTGCTCCCATCAGCCTGCATAAGTGAAATAGCCAACAAGTGGGTTAGATTTCCTAGACCTTATAGTACAAAAGCATCAAAGTCCTGAGGGGTTTTAATAATCAACCATTTGGCCTCTCCAAGTGTAATTGATTTAGAAGAACTGCATTCCTTCTTCCTAGCCCTCTCAGCTGCAGATTTAAGCTCTTGCAGAGTTCATGAACTCTTCAGCAGCAGGGGAGGGAAAGAAACCAAGACTACATCTCTAATAAGCTCTTCATCTGTCTCTCTCAGCTGAGGAAGCTGGGTAGCAGGCTATGAGGTGTGTGTACACAGTATCTGGGAATCCTGACTGAAAACTCCAGAGGCTGTTGCCTGGCTCCATTATCTAAAAGTTTTGAGTTGTCTCTGCAAAGACAGTTCTCTTGTACATAGGAATAAAAGTCCAAAGAATTCTTGATCAGGTGTGTTGTGTCAGTGGTTATAAAGTTCATGTAAAATAGTGACCTTGGTAACAAATTTCATATTGATGTAAAATTAGAGTAGATGAAATGTCAAGCTACTCAAAGGAGACAACATGGTGGGGTGGAAATGGAAAGGTGGGTTACTAGTACTTAAGAAATTTGTCTGAACGTACTGTGCAGTAGAGCAGCAAAGATTGTATTAGAGTGCATACCTAGTGGCGTTTAAAGATAAAGGAACATTCTAACCGGAGCGTATGCAAACAAACTGATTAACACATAGGGAATAAGAAACTTAGAAGTTATTAAGCAATATGTTGTGATGGAAAATGCAGAGCCCTCTGTGGAAGAGGGATAGGTACTACATGGGTGAAAAGGACAGAGAGGGAACCGTTTTTCATTTTATCAGTCTGAATGCTAAGGTAATGCAACTAAAGATTGCGAAGTCTAAGCAACTGGTAGGGCTGAGTCTAGCAATGTGATGATTGTATTGATTAATGAAGGAAATATGAAGAGGAAGCCAGGAGCTGAAGAAGCAAAATCAAGTGCGGAAAGGTATTGCTAATGGATGGACAGGTTACTGAGTTTACCATCTGTCCAGAACACACTAGAGAATAACATCTCCTGCCTGTTTGTATAACATGAGGTTGTCAAGTAGCATTAAACTAATCAACTTGAGTAAGAATAAATATCACGCCATGATCCTTGAGAAATGCGGCGTTGAAACCATTTTTGCATGCTGTATGAGGACACGTTTGTAGGTATATTTTTGCAAGTACAATTATAAACACCTGTTTTACTTCCTCAATCAATTTTTATTGATATGGTGAAGCTAATTTAAGAGCTGTATATAGCTGTATTCACTTGAAGTTCATCTTCTGTTAAAGGACTTTGGAGATGGATAAAGACAAACTGCATTTAAACAAAAATCAGTAAGATCGTCCTCTAAGCACATGGTGAGTGCTTGGAGAAAAAGAGCTGCTGCTGCTGCAACTTTTTATCTGTACAAAGCCCTGTTAGCAGAGAGAACTTGGTTCAATAGCTGACATTTAGTAACATGTAAAAAATGTGGGTGGCTCTCTCGGTGCAATAGTTCAAGGACTGAGTAAATGCTGCTTGCTATAATGTGTTAGCATGCTGTTTCTCTTGACTATCAGTGTAAATTGTGTAACTGTTTTTCTTAATACTTCACTTGTAAATTATGTACAAACTATTCCACTACAACAAAATAAAGCTCACTTTTAGAAAATCCGTGTACTTGCAATATAAGTGTAGTACTGACTTCAAGTACAAGTACAAAGATACAAGTTTTATTCCCCTATAACAGAGGTGGGCAAACTACGGCCTGCGGGACCGTTCTCTCCGGCCCCTGAGCTGCTGGCCTGGGAGGCTAGATCCCGGCCCCTCCCCTGCTGTTTCCCCTCCCCTGCAGCTTCAGCTCACGGCGCCACCGGCGCAATGCTCTAGGCCGCGGGGCGGCGCAGCTGCAGAGCCGCAGCCTGAACCGGTGCTCTGTGCTGCGTGTTGCATGGCTGGCTCCAGCCGGGCGGCATGGCTGCCTGTCATGGTGCAGCCGCGCCGCCAGCCACCGGTGCTCCAGGCAGTGCGGTAAGGGGGCAGGGGAGTTCGGGGGTGTCAAGGGCTGGGGTGTGGATAGGGGTTGGGGCAGACAGAGGGTGGGGAACAGGGGGGTTGAATGGGGGCAGGGATTCGGGGGGGCAGTCAGGAAGGAGGGGGGTGTTGGATGGGGCGGTGGGGGGCAGTTAGGGGCAGCGGGTCCAGGGATGGTCAGGGAGAAGGGGTGGTTGGATAGGGCAGAGTTCGTTGGGGTGGGGGAGGTAGGGGTTGTTTGGGGT